ACGCCAGTGTTTTATTGCTTTTCGTTAGGGAAGTCATGTACACTTGGGCCAGAAGATAATTAATTAAAAATGTTTAACCATAAGACCATACGCTTCTTTTCATGGAATGGCACTACTGTGTCACATTGAAGGTTCCATGATAACCGCCGTATGAACACCTCTGCGGATGTTTCTAAATTCAAAATTTCACCATTTTCGTGTTTAAATGTTGAATTCTGCTTAAGTCGGTGCTAGGGGGCGTGGACGGTAACTTGCACTTTCCAGTACCGTCCATGAACAGACTCAATCAAACCGAGCCTGCAACATCTTCAATTTTGCCGTGTTTGGCTTTCTTTGGGGATTCTGTTTTTCTCTATTATTTGGTGATCTTGGGTAAGGGAAGTTCTGGCTTTGGTTCAGATTCGGTTTTGAACTGAATCCGCGTTCACAAGCAACAATAGTTGCTGGGAAACACATGGCTATAGTTACTAACTGTGAAGTCATAGGATAATCCTCTTGATGCCGCCTCAACAAGACCTTATGAAATTCCCTAAGAGTCAATTGTTTGTATGAACCATGCATTAATGTTTCTATTCCACTAAATTCCCTTTCAAGCTCCATTTCACTTATTTTGTAGAACTAAGCAAATTCCTTCAAGTTGTCTGATGTCTCAAATGCTGAGAGAAGGTCAAGACTAAGGGGCTAAAGAACACTGAAGGCTTTTAATATTGAAGTAGTCATTATTATGCTGCTGACCGTTCCAAGGCGGCGCCCCTCTGTGTTCCTCAGATGTATGTCTATGTTGTTTTATCACTGTAAAATGTTTTTTTTCAATGCAGTGAAACATATTTTCCGTATTTCCACTGGTGTCTTGCCGGACTACTTTCTTTTATTTTACAAGTACCCAAAATTTAATGGAAAGTCTTTCAAATTGTAATGTCAAAAGAGAAAAATGTATATAATAACAGAAAATTCAAGTTTTTTCTATAAATACATGCGTGGTATGAAAATAAATATTTCAAGAGTAGCGGTAGCCACGAGTGAAATATGAGATTTTTTATGCCACAAGATGGCGGTCAGTCTGTTAAAGACAGTGCCAAATGATACATGTAAGTGTGACGAAAGTTATCGAATAAAATAAAATGAAAATTTTCACTAGCCAGCTCGGATGTAAGTCAGACTTCGGACAGTAGTCAGACTTTGGATCAATTGCAATTTTCGGCCATTTCCATCAGTCTTCAGATAAGGACTAATGAATAATCGTCGAGTTGTTCCAACTGTTGACGCTCTTATATTCCATGCTCTATTACGGTAACATGCTTATCATAGGGAAAACATATACTATGGAATTAAAAACGTAAATCATTCGATTTTTCTGATATTTATTGTATTATTAAAAATAAAGTTGAAAATGAAAAGAATTTATATTCAAAGTCTTACGTCAGGTCAGGCTTCACAGCAATATGTATCTGAAATTATAAAAATGGTTGTCTGATACATTTTATTTTTTTAGATTTTTTCGGAGAATTTACTATTATTATTATTATTATTATTAAATATACATGATTAAATATGAAAACCTGTTCCTAATTGTTTTTTTTTACAAGAGGTCCAAGTTTTGCGTGATTTTCCCTAGTTTTGTGTGATTTTCACTTAATAAAACGTTCTCAGAGGGGTTTATCATACTTGCAGTCTCCCAGGAAAGGACCCCCTAACTCTCAACCCCTATGGTAAGGCATGGAATACCAAGCTATGTCTGTTGTAAATAAATGTTCTAATACAATTTATAATTGTCATAGCACTATTGGTAGCCAGTTGCAATGCGAAATTATACCCTTTACCCCTCATCTAGTATGCAAACAAAAGAATGAAAGTCAAGCAGGCAACTGTTATTTTATCTTGTTATTGTGATTTAAAAATTTAAACTAACTATACCTGCGTTCATATATTAATTTGATTGACGACGAAAAGGAAACAGTCCTTCTAAAGTGACACACTATAATAATCTGAAACAAAGTTTGAGTAACTTGCACACGTGTATGTATGTAAATATGATGTAATACTTACTTTGCTTAGGTCAAAGTGTAGATCACTCTCTATATAGACATCCAAGATGCCAAACAGGTTATCATCATCGTCAAACATGTCGTTGTCGTTAGTAGATGTATCAGTAATGTCATGCCTAGCTGCTGTTATATCCACTTCATCTTGATCTTGGAGAGCTACTGCTTCGATGTCTACGATGTCATTATCTATTTCTTTTATATTTACAATATCATCATCTGATTCTTTAATGTCTACGATGTCATCATCAAATTCAATATCTAAAACATCATCAAGCGTATCGCTGTCTGACATTTCATCATCTGTTGCTGTGTATATACTTGCATCATCAGAATCTGATGCTATACTAGTATCAAGAGTGTCATTGCTAGTATCTCGGTCTGACATTATCTGATCTGGTTCTAAGTGAATAACTGTGTTACTTGTTTCGCTGTCTGGCATCAGATCAGGTGGCTTCGTGTGCACAATTGTCTCAAATGAATCAGTGTCTGACAATTCGTCATCTATGTTTTCAATCGGGTAAGGTGCATCACTTTCATCGTCTGGTGCTCTTTCTTCTTGGTTGGGAATGTATTCAAATGGTGTGGTATTAGATCGCACTATTTTGTATGTATCAGATTTGGTTTCAAGACTTTCCAGGCATAGACTGTCATTATTCTCTTGAACTACAGTTGGCATTGTGATTGCATCTGCGTGTAAACTTCCATTTTCTTTCATTTCAGGCTTGTCATTCACAATATCCATCGCTTGAAGCTCTGTCTCTGGGTCAACATACTATAAATCATTTGTTTTTAATTTCTTTTTCATATGTCTAAATCATAATCATTGCAATGTGAACTATCAATGTTTTCTTCATTTGGTATCTTCAAAAGTGTGACTTCATCTTGTATGTATGCTCTGGTATCGTGTACATGCACCAAAGCATATCTAATTCAAATTGTTTAATGCAGTGGCAGTGTTAATACTTGACTCTTTTGGCCTTTTACAGTCATTTGTTGTGTCTGATTGCGTAAGTTCAATAACTTCCTTTTCATGTTTCTCATCTAGTCTTAAAAGACCATTGATGCTATTGGACATTGCTTCTAACGCGACTTTAAGGCAATCATTGTCTTTATTAGTAATTTCTGAGTGTACCTGTTCAGGTAGTCCAGTTTCTGACATTATTTCTTTTGGCCTTTTTATTTTCCAATGGAGCATTGCTGTAAAAGGAGCTGTCAAGTTGTGACAAAAAGTCTTTCGACGTCTGTTTCATTTTATATGTCTTTACGGAACTTTTCGTCAGACTCGACAACATGTTTCCGGAAATCTCCACGTTCTTTTCCTGTGGCATCTTGGCCATTGTAGAAGTGTGTCTTGTATTTTCGGGTAGCAAATTCTATTGAAGTGATTAACGCCTCACCATCTTTCACAGGAGGGTTTTCTATGGTTACACCGGACCGGATAACAAACACCAGAAACCACAACGGAGAGAATATCTCGATGAAGACTGCATAGAAGTCCAATACAAAAATGGGTAATACAGAGGAGAGTCAGGAGGGTAGAATCACATTTTGATTTTCTTACAAAATTCTATTTTTATATAACCGTTAAAAAAGTTGAAAACTTACCCTGCTATTAACCTTATTACACATTCACATCTGAATGAGCGAAAATTCACATATACATTCTACCGATGCTCAATTTTGAGATTCATATGGGGATCCACCCCCGTGGAAAGTGACATTGGCCGTTTACCTAATGACCTCAAAATCAACATAGGACATTTATTGGCTGTGAGTACTAAATTAAAGAGGCTTATTTCTCCTCATGTCTATCATGTTGATGTGGCATTGACCTTCGACATAATGACCTCAAAGGCAAAAGGCAGCCTATACTGGCCATCGACATGAGCTGTCCATGTTTCTTACACCTTGTGATACTCAAATTATACATGTTAGGCTATTCTTCCTTTTTAATAAAATGAAATGATCCGTTTTGGGTATCGTCCGTTTACAACGTCGCACTTAATGTTTACGGGGTCCTATTTTGGGCGTAGTATAAGGTTCATGAAACGGGTCGACAAAAAAGGGGGCGGGGTTAACTATAAGCCGTAACAAATGTTACGAACATAGAAAAAAGATCATACGCAGTATTTTTGCTTGCGAAAAATTAAGAAACAGATAATAAATAGAAATAATAACTATTTTCATATAGCTGGCGCCTATCTTATATGCCATCTTGGAATTCTCAGCAAACCCTTTAAGCTTAACCTATCCACATAGAAATAATGTTATTTTTAGTCATTTAGCCAGTATCAATCATTTCAAACATAAGAAGTGAAAATAAAACGATGAATGCAAGATATTTAAAAAAAAACAAAAAAAAAACACAAAGATGTTTAATATTGACAAAATACACGTATAAAGATAGCATTTTCGATGAAATGTGGCAGCCATCTTGGATGCCGTTTTGGGCACATATAAGGGTATTTAGAGCAACAAACCAAATAAATAAATAAAAAAGATGTGTTTACTACTTTCAAACATTTCAGTAAGAAAAAACAATTGTTTTTTAAGAAATACAACAAATGAAACATATATTAATATCAATTTTGCCAAATTAGACGCCATCTTGGGCGCCATCTTGGATTTTTTTGTTTCCCGGGAAGGAACTTATATATTAAAATGTACAAACTATAAGCTTTCAAAAAAAAAAGTGTAAATTCTGTGCAAATTGTGCCTCGGTATACTGATTCCCAGCTACATGAATCACAGCTAAAGTAATCGGCATGATTTGCGTATGGACATACAGACTTAAGACGTGAGTGTCTCTTCTTTATTCGGGGCTTGAACATATTTGCAAAAAGTCCCGAGAAAAGTAACAAATTTACATGCAGACATACTTCAAGAGGCAGTTAACAGTTTTTTGAAAAAAGTTTTATTCTACTTTTCACATCAACAAAATATCTTGATAGTTTAAGTAAGCTCTATTTGCACGTTTATCATAAGTTTTGATCATACTTTAATATGCATGTATATTGCTAAAAAGATGATTATGTTATTGAAAACTCATTTAAAAACTTGTATTGTGACAAAATTTAATTTGAAAGCCTTAAAATATGTTTTTGGAGTTCACAAAAAATTTGCAAATAATGTTATTCTTGGTGAAACTGGAAGATATCCATTATATGAAAATATTATTACGCAGTCACAAAATACTTTAGTATGCTTTAATATTAAATTCGCTGATATACTGTGTATTTCAAGAAAAATTTTCCTTGCATGCAAACAGCAAAATAGCTTAGTAGTAAATATGAATTTTGTTTGCAACCAAGCATCAGCATTATTGTAAGAATTAATCGAAAATTGTTAAGTCAGTTTAAAACCAAATGGGCAGAACGATTAGATAGATGTAACAAAGAGCATGGAGCAAAATTGAGATGTATGAACCTTATTTGGATGTTATTAAAGATTTTGTTCTTGAATCATTTCTTTTCGACTCATTGCTCATAGACGGGAAGATTTCGAAAAATATTTGTCTTTGATAGAATTTGCAAATGTTGTCTATTACAAGATATTGAAACAGAAAAACACTATGTTGAGATGTAATTTTTACGATGTTGATAGAACTCTTAATTACTCATATATCTGAAAAGGTATCAAACTTTAAAACTCAAAAAATGTCAGAACGGTTTGTGTATATGATGTTTAGTGTGAATGTGTTGTAGCAAACTTTGTCCATGAATGTTTTTCATCTAGACACGGATTTCTAAAAGATGAAACATCTGTTTCGACTTATATAGTGAACCATTAAGCTTACTAGTATTTACATTATCTTTCTTAGTCACTTTTGTCATTTAATATGCCTTTGTTTCTTATTGTTACAAAGTATTTTGTTAATTGTGTTCAATGATTATAATTAATATTATTACCGTGTGATTATATGTCTGTAAAGGCCAATAATTGGATTTAAAATCTGTTCTATTCGTTGATAATAAATGCTACCATCGGTTCGGTAGATTTACCGAAGTGAATAATTGTCTGTTGATAAAATATTTTTCTTAACTGTACATACTTATTACAATGGCATTTTAAAATAAATACTATAATTTACTAATTCTTCAAAACTGAGTACTTTTAAAAGTAATGACGTTTGTAACAACTTTTTATATATTTATTTTGCGATGTCATCTGATGAACATCTGTTGTTGTTTTATTAGCCTGTTATTACTTTGTTATTTGTAATTTCACTGTATATCGGGCATGTTCCATAATGTATCTCTTGTAAAATTGTGTACTCAAATAAGATGTGAACAGTAATCCATGAACTTTTTGAACATAACTCGTGCATGTATATCTCCTTTTAAATACATTTAGAAGTGTTTTGGACAACTTTACAGTTTCACAAATCTTTTTTTAACATATTTCGTCTTTTTGTCAGACACTACCATGTAGACTTGTTGTAGTCTCATTTTACTATACATTCAGACCTTTACTTGGTATTGAATCCCCTTTCTAGTTTCACTTCAAAATTGTGAAATGGCAGATTGTTGAGATGATAAAAGTTAAAAAAATGATCCAAATTAGGAAAAATGTGTACCCGATCGGAAAAATCTTTAAACACCGAAACATTTCCTCCCTGAAATAGAGACGACAAGAATTGTTTCAAAGTCACATATTTCATTATATGAAGCAATTTAAATGCCAAATTTTCATCAAATTATACTTAAGGTTATAAAGTTGTAATAACTGTTATGCATCAATATTTAACCAGACTTACCTGCTGATATATGCGGAATTTCTTGATGCCAATATCTGTGGAGACACACAGTTTCTACAAAAAAAAGATTGAACATTTAATATTGAAATAGAGTCCATGCATACAAGTACTATATGATCATGTTAACTAAAACATGGCAACAAAAAGCATTTAGCTTTCAACTCATAATGCCTATATTATTAAAGCAAAATGTTTTTGTAAACCAAACACCTTTACAAATCAACGAATCCGATAAATAAAGTTACATTAAATTTGTATGTTTTCAATTAAAACCTATAATTATTTCTGCAGTGAAAGTCTATATACTTGGAACAATTAAAAAAAACAATTTTCCGGCCGGTTTTATACAGGAACCAGACAAAAAGCAAAACAAAGTAACATATGAGATAGTGATAATAACTTACCAGATCAGTTCCTGTATCATAAGTCATAAATGTTCCGGCTGGTCTTTCTTTAAGATTTCTGAAATAATTGGAAAACGTTCCTATATATAATAAACAGAATCTAACCTTCTAGGAAATGAAAAAAAACACACAACAGTGAATAAACATATATATCTATACTCCCAATTCTTAAGGGAATTGTTCATTTATCAAAACATCTAATTTCAAGATGTTAAATTCATACGAGTGAAATAATGAGTCTTATTACTAATGTTTATTTTGAATTTACTTTACAATATGCTCAATCTGTCAATATTGTAACTGTAGGTATGTATGTGCGTAGGTGTAGTTAATGCTTAATGAGGGTCCATCCACCTTTTCAGGCACTAAATGCTAAGGCTGTCGAGTACGGACCCAGGACATGTCACAAGTCATGCCCGTAAAGAGTTAATTGTGAAGCACAAAGTGGTGATATTTTACCTACATGCATTTCCACGAAGTATTAGCCACAGATATTTATTTTGACCCAAAAGTAGGTCACTTTAAGGCGGTCAATGAAAACCTAAATGTAGAGTAACCTGAGGCCTGCCGTTCAAGCTGTCTAACCGTGCTAGGGGCTCACGCACCCTAGCACACCATCTTCGTCGACTCAGAGCCTACTTTGTAGGGCCACTCCCCTCGGCTTTAGTCAGGACACCGGGAGCTAACTTCATGCACGCTCAAATATGATAAACAAGATCAAGTCGTGCCGCCTTAAAAGTAACCCCGAGCTGTAGAAAACATGCAAACTTGCCGTCTTACTCTTACACGAAGCATTGGTTCTTCAATCATCTGCCGATACCCTGTGTCTTTTACCCTATATACTTTTGACGAACTTACCTTTTATCGCTTTCCTTTCCCTCGCAATAATGGTCCTGTTTTTGAAAGAACTGTAAATTAAATATGCATTTTTAATTGTTTGCCTACAGAAATATTTGTTTTATATTTAACATTTTTATCAAGATACATAGTAAAGAAGTTTTACAGCCTCCGTGGTCGAGGGGTTAGAGTCGATGACTTCTAATCCAATTACCTCTCTGGCGTGGGTTCGATCCCCGGGAGATGCTTTGGTAGTTTAGCGCGGAGGAAGGTAGTCTAGTACTGGTGTAACTCTCCAGGAACGATGGATAGGAAACTACCCGCCTATATGACTGAAATACTGATGGTAAAAGGCGTATAATGAAACAAACAAACCAGAAGTTTACTCGCTAATGAATAATGCAAACATACTAGTATTCAAAGTGTATTTTGTCATTTGGGATTTAAAAGTAAAAGATCTGACATGATAATATACAGTGTATTTTCTTTTTAAATTTGACATAAACAAAAGATCTTTAACATTTGACTTGCTTTCGTATTTTCGTAGATTGCATCCTCATCTGGAGTTTCACTTTCCGTACTGCTGAAGCTATTTGCACTAGGAGTATTATGTATGTTACAGTTGGTACGCTCATCACTTTCATTTTTCCTTTCATTACCATCGAAAGGGAAATCATCTTGTTCTATGTCTTTGGAACATGCTACATTTGCATAAATATTATTTCTTTCGACATCATTTGACTTTTGTTTGTCTGTATCAGGCTCTGACAAATTGCGTGGTGAACTGTCTGATTCTGTAGGGCCTGTATATATTGCAAGATGTGAATCAGGCATACATGGTTGAGAACTATTTACATCATCATCGTCAGGTGGTTTCCGCTCGTCTTTGTCAAATTCTGTTAAAATACTTGACTGAGAATATTTCTGTTGATCAGGCTCGAATTTATGCTTTCTTGAGTCCTTGTCATATGCAGGATTTCTCTGCACCTCTAAAGATTTTAATGTGTTTTCTTTTGTTATAAAACAGTCTGACTTTCCGTCCCTGTCAGTTTTTCCTATATATTTTGATTTCGAATCAAAACTGCATGTTTCTTGTTCAACTGAATCAGATATATCTGAGCAACCATCAACTCTCTCAACTGCTGATAAACTGTCGTCTCCCCTTACAGATAAAAATTCTTCGCACTCCTTGGTTTCTTCTGAAAGATTATTCTCAATTTTGTGTATCTGTCCAGAATGCGTACCTCTTGTTAATGGTCTTGAGACAGGTAAACGGTACGATTTTGGCAATGTTACATCTTCCGTTTGACCAATATTAGAACGTCTTGTCGAAACATTGGGAGAGCCTTAATAGATGGAAAAAAATGTCAAATACGGAATATTTAGTAGATTTGCTTTGAAATACGTTTATAGTTTGTAATATGTTATAACACAATTTAAGAAACAAATACCCATTGAGGTTGAACATCTTCTGTTTTCTTGCATGCAGACCGATAATAAAACAAAACCATTTCACGTTCATTTCTCCTTTTTTGTTTGAAAGTCCTTTTCTTCAGTCGATGCAAAATTTTGTTTTCTTTTCATTTTTTATACATTTGATAGACATTTCTTTGAATTTATTTATGTCATGTATAAAAGGTGTATTGAAGTGAAAAATAGACATTTCTTTGAAAAAATAAATTGAGGAAAGTGTGCCGCCAAAGTTAACATTCGCATAACAAAGTTCAAACTTTTCATGTTGATCAGAATTAAAGGACTTTTATAAGCCAATCACATCTTCTAAAAACGCTTATGTTTGTAAGAGATGTTCTATCTGTACCGGGTAAGATTGCCAATTTAACCAGTGCTTTATCAGCTATTTCATTATTAGACAATTTGAAAATGAACATTTTTCCTTTTGTTAAACGTATATTATTTTTAAGCACATTGAGGTGTATCGTATTTGTTTGTTTAAACCAACAAAATAGGATCGTCAAATGTGATGTAAGGTTCCAGCAGCTACCTATGTGTTATCAAAATCACTATGAATTGACTTTAAAAAGACTTATAATAAGTACATAAGCATAAATGCATAACTAAAACGGTCACAACGATACAACTTGATTGAAATACGGGGAAGTATACATATAATAGAAACCAAGCGAGAATTAATTGTCTTACATTTAGTTTCTTGAACAGGTGACGACAAAACTTGTTTTACGTTTGTTTCATCAGTTTCTCTTGTATATTCACCAGAAACACCTATAATATACTGTGAATAATTACATGTTACAAACCAGGGAACGATGCTGATAGGCATTGCTTGATTCTGATATTTGTGGAATGGATGATTGTTGTAACGATATAAACAAAAAAATATACAGAGATATTTAGCATTTGAAATAATAAAATAAATATACATTGCTATTCAGATGGTTTGTATCGCCCTCTTGATGATCTAAAGTTTTCTCACGAGCACTAAGGTCAGTGAAAATACAGCTTTATGCAGATATGAGCGGTACAATTAATCAAAAAGCACATTGAATTTCATGCAAGTTTCTTTGAATTTAATTTGAACAAAACGTAATAAATTGCCTTTTTTGCCTTTAATAACTTACGTACATAAATGCGTTTGAATACACATGACGTAAAAGAGTGCGTTAATCTACCTGTCATTTAAATAAATTGTAACAATATTTAAAAAAAGCACTTGATTCAGACTTTGATTATAGAATAGTACAGATTTATACTATTTTTATATCACTTTATCATGTCATTCATGCGTTTTTGGCTTCCTATCAATGTTGTCTTATTTTTGACAGATTTTTTAAAGAAAACACTTGGGTTTTACCCCCAAGCGTTAGAAGGTTCCGGAAACTATAAAATAAAGGATACTATTACGTGTAAAATATAAGAAACTTTTAAATTAATATTAATTTACCATTGGTTGCAGGTATTTGAGAAAATGACTCATATAAGCCGGAAGTTTCACGAGTGTTTAGATTGGCATCCTTTTCTTCTGCCGGAAATACATGTTCAGCTGAAACCGATAAAACAAAATATGTATTCTTGTTTGAGATTGTGATTCTTTTTTTCGATGCAGTTTGTTATGCACAATTCTTAAATATTTTGAATATTATAAAAAATCTAACCCAGAGGAAAATGGAGTTTAGCAGATTAAGCAGACTAAGATTATTTTTCTACTACAAGTTCCAATATTGTTGCATTAACTAAGGGAAACATAAGTGGATATGAATATTATGTTTCTCTTCGTTTGTTACAAAAATACAGTAACCAACGTCCGAGATACCGTTTGACCCTACATAAATATCGTTTTACAATAAATGGGTAGATGTTATACTCTCATATTATCTTATTCTTTTAGCTGCATTTAAGTGCAATGTCTTGAAAACTATTAAAGATTTTTTTTATAGTCTGTTACCATAAGAATAGAGATTTCCATCTGACTCCGTTGTAGGTTTTCCATCTGATTCATTTCTGTTTTCTAAATAAGAATTTGAATTCATTTTCAGTATTGTTCGTATCTATTTGACACTATCTATATCATGTCAAAATATTATTTGTTTGTTTTTTAATAAATGTATAAATCTATTTCTTAATAGGAATGAATTTTAATTTCATGCTGACCATTAAAATCCTTCTCAGAATTAAATAGCAATACTTTACATTTTATGATGCTTATGGATTGTTTTCACTGTACGTATCACGTATATTATAAGTAAAAGAACGGCTTTTGATTTTTTTTTCTGGTCCTTCAGGATCATTGATTTCAATACTTTTATTTTGCTGACGATTGGATAATGCTAGACCCGGTGCGAGGGGGAATGAGATATACTGTGCGTTCCATTCTCTTTCATGAATGCACCAAATTAATTCTATAATTTTTACTTTGAACTTTAATTTCATTGGCACCAAAGGCTTTAAGTTTTTTTCCAAATTTTTGTCATCTAGACATTTTAGAATTCCGAAATTATTATTTTGATACGATTTACGTAAATAGCTATGAATGTAAAATGGACTCAATAGGGCAATCATTTCATGCATTTATGATATGGTATGCTACTTACTTCCTATGACAGAGCCGCCGCTTCCAAAACCACTGTCACTGTATAAGGATATAAACATATTTTGTTTATTAATTAAAACAATCAATGATGTTTAAACAAGGGTTGTTTCTTTGTTTATCTGTTGTTTTGTTTTATGTCACATATGTGGTCTTTTCCTGGCAGTCAATTAAGAACAATTACCGCAGATGTTCAAAAGGTGTAAAGTAACACAAATGTGTAAGGAAAAAACATCAAACGATCAGGAGTATTGTTTTTCAGTAGTTTTACAATGCCTTACAAATGTAATTTTCTTATTCCTAAACAAAAAGAGAAAAAGACATAAAATCTACCATGCAGTTTCGCTTATTAGATACAATATGTTTTCTTATAACATATAGATAAAATATTAAAATAATCTTACATCGACTATCGGTTTATGTCTAGGGTATCTGTTCAAGCGGTTACGAAGATCTGATGGGTTTCAACTTAACAATATATTCCTTTTTCCGCGATAACCAGTATTTGATTATTTTTCTGGCATAATACACAAGTGTGGTACACAAAAATTACGAGAACTAATACATGTTTTTTAACAATCCCTTTCAGGATGAAAATATAACAACATTGATAGCATGTACGGGGATACTTTTTGAAGTTAATCTAGCTTACGGAACATCGGTGGTTCTACTCAGGTGCCCGTTCGTGCCTGAAATAATGCACGGAAGGGAACCTGAGGTCTTCCTCCGCCAGTAAAGCTGGAGCATCGCCATATCCCCCGTATATATAAATGGTGTATAAATATATAATAGCAATAAGAAATAAATTAACTTTAACAAGTCTATATCAAGGTAAATCAGTACTTACGCAGATAACGGCTGACTTTCTGCATACGCTTGTGATAACATCGACATCCATGTCTTCAAATGATAAAAGCCAATTATTTATGTTACAGCAAAATTAAAAGCTTTAATATGATTGTGATAATTTCGATACCATTTTGTAGTATCTTATACATTTTACAATCGTTACAAGGAACAATTGACATATCTAATGAAATGCATTAACAATTATCCTGATATAAAACTTATTTGGGAAAAATAAATAATAAATGTTGAAGGGCAGTTAAAACACTAATAAAACAATACCGCCTAGCCTAATTCAAAGAATTGAATTTGTCCGTCTAGATGTTTTATTTCTGTTAAAAGATAAAAAGATTGCAAGACTAGAATTATTTGGCGATTGGTGCTAATCAGACTTTTTTAAAGGCAAGATTAATGTCCAAAGGCTTTGTAAGAAGATCTGCCATATGTACACAGTTTATGCGGTTGTAACGCATGACTTTATACATTGAACAAGTCAATTTTAAATCTAATGGTACAAATTTAATTCAGTATCTTATCTGGAATCCATATCAAATGTTTGAATATGTTATGGTTTGGTTGTATAGTTAGTGCCGCTGTAAAACATGACATATTGTCAATAAAAAAAGTGAAATTTAACTCGACTGGTACAACACTAAGTTGATCTTGAATGATAATGTTTGGGTTAAATTACAATATCTTTCATCCGTTGTGCCATTTATAATACAAACCAATAAGGTATACAATGTTCTTCAATTACTTTAAACAGTCTAAAAATGTATCAGCGATGTTTCACAGATATATTCACAGAAACACAAAAAATAAAAAAAGTATCATAAAGTGTACATAACATGTGGTCTGTTGAAATAAAACAGAAAGCTTGTACCATATGATTTGACAAAGAAGATGTGTTTTCTGTATGTTCATATTACAGGTTTGCCCAACTCTTAATAAAGTTGTAGCATTGGTGTCAGTAAATGAAGCGGTGATTTTTATATAATAACTGTTACAGTATCCTGAACACCAAGAGTAAAAAATTACTTAAGTTTGAATAAATTTGGCAGCCCGTATCATTTAGGTTTGCAAGATTCCCCGCCTTATTATCAAACACTTACCAATACAAATATTTAAGCATTTATAGAGTAAAATTATCTAAGATAAGTCTGTAAAATTAACTAAGCGAACGCTTTTAAAGTGTCTATGACATCTAAAAATAAACAAATAAAATCTAGACCGTACCTTCCTATTCTTTTCAGTATCACATTTCAATATTATATCCAGTCTTTCGTGATCATTAAATATAATTCTTATCCCCATGAAGTTATTTTCACTTGCTATGTCATATTCATGAATGCTGAAAAAAAAACAGTAAAGCAATCTAAGTAAAAAATATATATCATAAAATAGAGAAAAAGAATCGTCCAAAGAAGGTCCAAAACGACAAAATTTAAAATAATGCAGACTCGGTTTGAAATAGTCTGTTCATGGACAGCACTGGAAAGTGCAAGCTACTTTTAAGCCCCGAACACGGCTTAAGCGGTATTCAGCATTGAAACATGTATTGGTAAAATTTTGAATTTAGTAACATCCGCAGATGTGTTCATACGGCGGTGATCACGGAACCTTTAATGTGACATGATAGTGGCATTCCATTAAAAGCGGTGTGTGGTCCCCATGAAAAAACATGCGAGTGCCCCAAACGAGAAAAAAAAGGGGAACTAAACAAAATGGAATTTTGAAAGGGGATAAGAGGTTTTGTAGGGCGCATATCACATATAAGCACACAAAAGATCAATTTAAAATTCAGGTCACATATCCAAAAGGTAATTATATAGTATTTTATCATGCAACTGCTATGGTGACTGCCCGATAACACTTGCCTGATAATTATTTTTGATATCAGGTCAGTAACCTGATATCAAAAATAAGCCCCGCCCATTTTAACGGACTTCAATTGCTTATATTCTCATTTTCATCAGCATGTGAATTCTACAATGTAATCTAATATCCTTACAAGTCTTGAATCAAGATGTGATATTTATTTATTTGTTATTTCGATTTCAATTACGAATGAATTAGATAGCGAATAGTTTTAGTACCAACTAAATGAAGTGACGTCATCATTTATATTGCAAATGACATCATCAATGTTCATCAAAGCCTCGCCCTTTCTAGCCCATATCAGCCTCGCCTGATAAAATTGATATCAAAAGACAGTAGCATGTTATTCTCTATCAATCAAGTAAGTAATACTTGAACCACCCAAGTAGAAAAATGTTGTTGAATGTAAAACGATCGATCTTTTACTCTGCATCATATTAAGTATCATTTTCGCTACATAAGCTTAAAGCAAACAAATTACACTCCGAAATTGACAAACTAATTTACAAACTAATGACTGTTCAAATGGCCATTTGTAGGAAAGATATTCAAATATTCACCATTTTGTTTTATTTTTGTATTAAAGTGATGTCTAAGTCATAAATGAGGCGTTGTATCCAGTTTTCGTGTAGTGTATCTATATGAAATAAAATTGGAAATAATAACGCCAAAAAAAAAGATTTACCATTACCAAGAAACCATTATATTGTAATAAAGTTTATTTTTCAGTAACTTTATTTTTGTGCAAGTCATATTGATTTTGCACGCGACCCGCCTTACAATGATGATAGCTGCCTCATGCTGTTTCATTTCTTTTTTCTCTTGCTTAGAAAGCGTCTTATTATTGTCATGTGGTGTTTCCATAGTATTTTGTCGACTTGTCTAAACATTGCCTTATTATGCGTTACAGCAGTCTTATCTCTTCAAAATGTGATGTGGGCCTGTCTTAACATTGTTTAATTATTTCAAACAGTAGTGTGATAATGTCAAAATGTCGTTTTGGCTTGTCTGAAATGTGTCATATTGTGTCAACTAGTCGTGCTATTAGGTCAAATTGTGGAGCTGTTTTGTGAAAAGACTGTCTGTCTGATCATTTGAAACAGTAGTATTCTCTTATCGAAATTTGGTGCTGACCTGTCAAAACACTACTTTATTTTATCAAACTGCTACGTTATTTTGTCAAAATACGATGAAAAAGCCTTAACATGTCTAATTGGGTGAAATAGAAGTGTTAATTTGCCAATGTATACTACTGAATTGTCTAAGTATATCAAATATTCACATTATCATACTGAAATGGGGTGTTGACTGGACAAAATCATGCTTTATTATGATAAACTTTATGTTATTTTGTCAAAAAGCGGTTTTGACTTGTTTAACTTCAGTCTTAAAAAGTCAAAAGATTGCGGTATCTTGTCGAAATGTTGTATCAACTTTGATAATGTGAAACAGAAGTGCTATATTGTCAAAATTTCATGTTTTCTTGTAAAAATACTAACACCGTCTTATGATGTCTAATAATTGTATTATTTTGTTCAAATTCAATTCTGTTTTGAGAAAGCGCTGTCTGATTTTGTTTAACAGTCCCGTTATATTTTTTTGCTTTATCTGCCACGTGACGCTCTGGTCACGTGATAGACAACATCACATCTGGACAGGATAACACGATTATCTGACATAATCGGACGCTATTTATTCAAATTAACGGTATTTAGACAAGTAAATGTAATAAATTGGCATGTCAACACCACTGTATAACATAATGATATTGTGTTTAAACAAGAAAACACTACATGTGAAAAGGAAAACAATGACACTTCGCCATAAAAGGACGATGTTTAGTCTAAATAAAGGGACTCCACTGTGGTTTAAAAGCCAAATATTTCTTACACACATGAGCTGCGGCACTTTAAACAGAAAAAATATGCGAATATAGTTAAGAAATATACTTTATATATATATATATATAATACATGCTTTTCTTAGTTGAATTGGAGTAAAAATCGTTTAAACGCTTTTCATTTTGAGTCATTTTTTACAATTTGAAAACTACTCTGGAAAAACGAAGTGTGCGAATGATCTCACATTTTGCACAATGATAAGAGGTCTAAACCTACATTAAATAGTACATTTATCATGTTTATCTGGAAAAAAATAATTTCATACCCATCATGTCAAAAATCCTCAGTGGAGTCCCTTTAACGTCGAACCTTGACAAAATAAAATGGCACTTTGACAAAAAGATCATAATTTTATACAAGTCATCACCACGTTTCGACAAGATGATATGACTATTGGACATAATTAGACGAGTCTAGACAAGTTAATTTGCATTTGGACATAGTAGCGTGACAGTTTGGCATACTTAAATAGCGATTCAACAGTTCATAACCATAATTTGTAAAGATACCACCATTATTTCACATAATAAGACAGTGTTAACGTTTAGATAGGTTAACATTAAGTTTGTACAAAACAGCATGGTGATCTGAGGAAATAAGGTAGTGTTTAAACATATCAATACCATCTTTCGACAAGTCTACAATACTGTTTGACATAACAAAATAGCGTTTACGCAAACACACATAATTTATTGGCAAGTCAACACTTGTATTTCAAATATTAAGTATATTTTTAGACAGGGTAACAAAAGTTTTAGACAAGAAAGCGTGATGTTTTGGCACAATAAGACAGAATAACACCACCTCATACAAACACGCCCATTAGCCCCACCGCCCGCCATGGGCGAAACTGTAATATGACCTGTGGTTCAAGCGGGCGTTCCGCGACTTTTTCTTGAAAAGAGAATAATATTGTATTCAAACAAAACTCGGCCTTCAGTCATACTGCTAAAATGACCATTAACTTTTACAACAAACGCACAAAGTGAATTACGTAACTTTGGCAGAATAATGGATGCCAAAAAGCCCAGATGCAGCTCCTATGGACTTTGGTAAATTAGGTATACTAAAACGTAAATTCATACAATGCACGGTCTTAAAAAGACTCTCAAAGATGTATGGAGCAAACTTGGCAAAAAAGTAGAGTGTTTAATATTGCCATTGGCCCGAGATTGAGCATCTGTTGCAATAAAACACATGCTAGTAAACAGAGTAATACTAAATAATTAGGCAGGTTTTAAAACTGTTTCATAAAAAATTGAACACGAGTCTGCAACTGTTTGGTTTCTGTTTGTTGCCACTACTTTCAAGTAATATCCTTTTCATGAATTTCAGTATTTTACTTATTACGTGTGTACATTGTTGCATAATATTTAAATAAATCCATGTGCTGATTAAAGTTCCTTTTAAATCATCAGCTATTAACAGCATATACCTCTTTACTTCTTGCATTGATATTGACCAGTCTTGTTTAATTGAATCACATTCCTTAAAGCAGGAAATGCTCCATACGCAGTCCTCTTTAGCTCCTTTCGAGATGACGAAATATTTCAAAACCCCTGTAAAAGAATAAGTAGTGAATAAGTCGGACAACCATTAGTCTTTAGTGATACTAGGAGTCTTAAATATCATTCTGCTGACAAGAAATCATAAACAATATCAGTGTATATAGGAAATCAGAAATAAAGTCGGCTAAAACGTCTAGTAAACAGTTTCAAGTAAATCACATGCTGAGAAACTATAGAGATTAGCGTGATGCTCATGGGTTAACCTAGAAATATTGCCCGAGCCCTTTGCATTTTTTTGTTATCTTCAAAACGAACGTATTTCATATTTTAAGGCGTCGCCCCTTTGTGTTCCTCAGATGTATGTCTTGTTTTCGTGAAAGAAAAGCAATACTTGTTGTCACTTCATCTTTAGTAGTTTAGTATAACCTTGATTGTGTCACCAAAGTCACAAGCTTTGTTGTTACAACAATAAAAGATAAGTTATCTGAAATGAAATGTCAGATAACTGCAATATTATGTATTTGATAATTATCCTGTAGAATTTCAAGGTACGAGAGTGGATCAATATGTAAATGCAAATTGTTATTTTCTAATTTTGCTCGTGATAATTATGTTTGCATAAAGAATGCTATGCTTTAAAGCATCTGCTTTTAAATGATTCAAACAGAATGTGCGTAGTCAACCGATTAAGAATTCCATTCACATTTAAAAATACCTTACACGGGTATCTTCATATAAGGTATGTATGGTAAACGCTCACTCAAAATGGTTACATAAATGCTCGAGCAAAACCAGAAAAGCAGCTATAAATACTTATTACATGTATGACATTTGTAATATTTATGGCGGCAATGAAGTATCTTATAAAGTTTTTTCAGGTTATATGCATACATAAAAAGGGGCAAGTGTCAATTAAAGAAAAACATGATAAACAAGATCAACAAGAAAGGCGGCATTCAAGCCCGTATGTAAATAGTTTCTGTTATTGTTATATTTACGGCCACCGGCCCATACACAAACAGAATACCGTTCAAAATATCAATGTAGAGTGTAGAGCAGTGAACATTTACAAAAATACATTGCAATCATCATACTAATTTGTGACATTTTACACGGTAAGGTATAACAACATTTAACATACAATCACATTCGAGCACTGTAAATAATTGCAAATAAAAGTAAATATACACAGATAGATGCACGTTTCTTTTTTTGAAAGCATGATAAACATATATTGCTGAGTTTCGGAAAGTGTTTATATCAGAACATGACATTAACCAGTAAAAAGACTGCCAAGTTGGAACTTCAAAATACTTGGCAGGTAAATTCTGAATGCGAATATCTGTGTACAAAAGTCAAGTCATTACAAAATCAAACTCATCCACGATATACATATATGTAACTAACACAAACATGTTCGATATTCTCTACAGATACCAACATATCTACCCTGCTCAGTCATCAAGGTATGACTAGAGCTTCAAAACAAAACTGAACATTTTCTAAATTTCAAAATATCAATGTTTAATATATACTGTTCTGTTTTATAATCAGTTTTATAGTTTACATAGTGAAATAACTTTTTGTTTTCACAACATTTCGCATACCAAAACTGTTTATATTGATCTAAAAGTCGCTGAACATAAATTCTTAAAAACAATTGGTCATCATCTACATACTGGTTTTTCCATAAATAACCAAATCCATTTTCATATAAGTTTTGTCTTACAAGTGATGCCCAATCTTTATGATCAATTCAAAATAACATTGCATATCATAGTATAAACATATATATGTGTTATGAGACAAACGTAATAAACGTAACCAAAATTTAATGCAAAGGTTCGCAGCAAACATATTCAAAGGCAATCTTCCTGTGTCACCAAGGATTGCATCATTACAAGCATTAGTATATACTTCTGAAAACAAGCATAAATATGTAGGTTTTCAATACAACTTGAATTTTTTAGACCTCATAACATTGCACCATGGAATAAAATTGAACAAACTTTAGTATCAAAAATCTTTAAAAAAAAGTTTTGTATGGAACATTCATCGTATTAATTAGTTAAGCAGCTGTACCAGCACCCTTTACCCTTAATACTTGAAGTTAATAGTCATATTTTCATACATCTTGTATAAAGACAAACGGCCAGTGAAATATACTCTAACATATGTAAAACCATTGACAATTTCAAGTGAATGATTATCATCAAACAATTTCTCATTTGATGCTATTCGATCACCCAAAGACCAATATTTTTGTTTTATCAATATTTACATTTAATTTGTAAGTATTACATAAAGTACATAATATATTCAACTGTTTTTGCAACCCAGAAATAGTACCAAACATTAATTCAATATAATCAGCAAACAGAAGCATAAAAAATTCTATATAATTTTGGAATAATTGTATCCCTTTAATATTATTTCTAGAAAACAAAGAATAAAGTTCATTAATAAAGCAAGAAAATAAAATTGGACTCAAATTACATCCTTGACGTAAACCAATAGTTCAGTCGAAATTATTTGTAAAACCAGCTTGTGTTCTTACTTTGGCTTTAACATGTACCTCAGCATAAATTGATGCAATAGCTTTATATAAATTACCGTTGATTCCATCATTTCTCAAAATTTCAAACAACATATTTCGGTCTACAGAATCAAATGCTTCCTGAAAGTCAATAAATGCAACATATATAGGTTTGCCTTTTGCATTCAAATATTTATTTACAATAGAATGTAACACAAATGCATTATCCAATGTTGAATAGCCGGCTCTAAAACCAGCTTGACATTCTCAGAATCTGAGAATTTTCATATGCATTGAAATAGAAAGTAACTCGTTTTGTTAAAATTGATATGTATATCTTGCTAATTGTATCTAATAATGCAATGCCTCTATAGTTGTTAGGTTCATTTATATTACCTTTCTTATGAAGTGGTATAATAATAGATTCTGCCCATTCACATGGAAATTCACCAAATAAAATTAATCTATTGAACAGTTTGACAAGCAGTAGTATTAAAACATGAGAACCATATACAATATGTTTAGGAATCAAATCTCCACCAGTTTAGGAATCAAATCTACACTAGCTTTATAAGTGTTCAAAGATTTTATTGATTTAAAACATTTTTTCAGAAATTGGGTCATCAAAAAGTATGTCATTTATATCATCTAAATTTGAGTTTGACTCAGTGCAAGTGTCATGCAAAAGACCATCACACACATGTATTTTACAGTCATTTTCAAGCAATTTACTAAAATGTATATGCAAAGTATCTAGGGAAATATTTGGGGTACTTTAGTCATTTTTGAAAGTTTATGTATTTCTTTCCAAAAAAAAAACTAAGGGTTATTTACACACGGGGAGGAATCACGCCGTTCGTTACCCAAACAAACAAGATGGCGGATGCGGCCAAAAAGAAGGTTTTTCCCTTTTTTCTCTGAAATTCATGATGTTCTTGTATAAAGGTACATATAACAACCTTCTACACAATTTTCCTGGCACACAGAAATTTATTTCATGGTGTTTCATCCCGTACTTCTTCTGAAATGCGCGTCACCAGATTCGAAGCGAGAGAATTCTCCACCGGTTTGATCGTGGTAACGTACGGCTTCTTTACTCAAATTCGCTGTTTCTTTTACATATATGTATATTAACTGAAACCACTGACTTTAAAAAGTTGTAATATGTTGTCAAATAATTATTTATGCCCATTTTTGCTAGATTAAATGGTGTAAATATTAATATCGGGGCATTTTCAGGAAATGATAACGTATGGCGCATAAAATATCAATGATAACGTACGGCGCATTTTTCTACTTTGTGCATTTCTATTTGTCCAGTCAGCTGATAATAAATTATTTGTATGTAGGAAATGATAGATTTTTGAAAAAAAGTTTGTCATTTCAGAAATAAATTATTGAACAATGCTGCACCATCGGGTATCAATATCTTTCTAGCTGGTGGCATAATAGATATTCGTTGTAAATGTACCAAGTAAAACACACGTTTACAGTTTGAGAATATTTTTGTATAAAAAGCAGAATGGAAAGAAAAGCCTCCACTTTCAGGAAACATTTGTGTATTGTTGTCTTCACATTAAATTTCGCCAGTGTTGTGCGATAATTATGGTCTTATCCCCTTATTAAAAAGAAGAAATGCATTCACCAGAGCAAAAATGTTAAAATGGTACGGAAGACTTGATATATTTTCTTTTCCAAAATTACTTTAACAAATTACTGATAAGAAAATCTTAATATTTGAACCACGTCAAACATAAACAAAACGATAAGTGATTGCGACTAGCTTACACCCAGATGAGATAAGCCTGTGTTTATACAATCTGGTCGCTCATTATTGAATTAGTTAGAAAATAATGTTTTGCGAAAAAGTTCAATAAATTTATTAAATAAGAAATTTCCAGTTTTTTTGACGAAACGTTTTCTATATAGCGTGACGTTGTGCCACTATGACGTCACATTTTTTGCACGACATATCCGTACAGTTTTTTATTATAATTGATTTGATCCCAATTCATAAATTTGCCTATCATATTTTGGCGTTTTTCTCGCAAACGCCCCAACCATAACAATCAATCTCTTACAAAATAGTATTGCAAGTATCAGCAATAAAAGAGTGTCATTGAAATTTGCGGTAAACATTTTACCGACCATGATAAAATTTCAAATCGGATTTGGATTTCGATGTTTTATCCATGTCCGAGAACCCGTCTGAAATCATTAAAGCTAGACCGCTCATGAATGCGCTCAGATGACGTCATTATCTTTATGAAAGAACAGCTGTAAAAATTACTACGCTACTATGATAATAGTGTTTACGAAGTATATGTTAGTAACATATATACATTGTACTTCGTAAACACTATTATCATAGTAGCGTAGTAATCAGTTAGTGTTCATCTGTGTTGTTCTACAGAATTTAGAAAACTTTGACTTGAGCGATAGTGGCCGGAGAATGTTTCTTATTTCCGTAGAACAGCTACGGATGAATACTAACATACTTAGTGTCAAGCTTTAT